AAGCACCGGTGCTTTCGGGTGGCCAAGGTTGAGAAACTCTGCTCTAGAAGTAAGACTTAACTAGGTGTCTCGATGATTCAGCTTGCCAATCGTTATTTGCCTTAATGGAGGGATGCTAAAACCCTGGTTCTAAGGAGTTCCAGCAAGTACGGTCAAGGGCGAGCAATGCTGGAAGTTGCAGGTTAGCAACGTCCAACGGCTTCCAGGTTCCCGGCCTGGCTTAACACTTACGCTAAAAGGTATGACAATCGGAGGACCGGCTTTCCACAAAGAGATGCTGCTGCCGCTTCTCCCCGAGAGGAGCCCAGCTGAAGCTGCTCCAAGAAGCTTTCTTCCCACCGGCTCGGCCACCAGGACTGGGACCTCTTTCTGTTGGTCTTGGGTCTCCTGGCTGAGGTCGTCGGCCTCCTCGGGAGGAGCTTCTGGCACTTCCAGGAGTTCCTTGGAGGTCTTCTCTGAGAGAACCCTCCGGAGGCTTTCCGGTCCGTCCCTGCCTCCCTCCATCGTCCCCTGCAAATATCCGTAGAGCTGCGGGAAAGCGTTGGGATGGCGTTAGTCAGAAAAGGACGGTTCCCTTCCGCAAAGGTCTGGGATCATCGCAAGGGGGGACAGGTGGGAGAGCAAGAGTGGGGGCTGAGAAGCGCGTCCAAAGTCCCCCTGTGGATCTCCCCGTTTCATTTTGAGGACTGGCAGAGCGGCCAGCAACTTTTAAAAAATGGGTACCAGTTCCCACGGCGTCTAGGAAACTTTGGCCCCACGGCGTCGCCCCCTTTCCCATCTTTTGCAGGTTAAGATGCTGTTGGAGACCGCAACTGCCTAGACCGGTTTTCCTCATCCGCTGGCAAGTCCAGATCCTGGCTTGCTCAAGCAACCACGCCTGATGGGTTGAAATCCAACCTCCAGGATGTTCTTGAAAGTTAAGCCGCAATGCCCACACGGTTTCCTTGACCACCACAGAGAAGTGGTTTGCCGTGGCCTTCCTCCAAGATTTCGCTCAGAATTCCACTCTCACCTACGGGCCCAGCATCTCCTAGTGGTCTCCCTTCCAAGGTCTAACCAGCCCTAGCCTTCCTTAGCCATTTTCAAGAGAGCCAAGCTCTACGTTAACGCCACCAAAACGAAACATGACCGAAGAAACCACGCAGCACACAGAAGCATTTGTTTGGAAGAAACCCGTCTTTGCAGAAACCTAACTTCTATATTCCACCCCAGTCGTAGCATTCTTTTTCCCCGAAACAGGTGGATATTTTCCACGTTTTCTTCCCTTGGTGGCCGACAGAAATTTCCAGAGTCATTTAAATCCTCCCGGGGTTCAGCGTTTGGACCGTTTCCCCGTCTCCCCTTTTCCAAAGAGCCCGCCCTCACCTGCCCGCCCTCCCCAGCTCACCTGCCGGGCTCCAACTGCAGCAGCAGAGCAGCGACTGTTTGCATCCCGTTCTGGTTCCCATAGCAACCGCCGGGCGCCAACAAACGGCCAGGCCGCAAAGCCACCCCGTGGCAGGCTTGGCGGGGCGGGCGCAGAATTGCATC